TACAAGCTGCTTCCTCCTGTGAAGGAAGAAAAAACAACCAATGACTTCCTTCCTGTCCTTGTTCAAACAGATTTTCTAAAAAGAAAACCTGGCACAGATCTCCTCTCAAATGCCTCATCAGGCCACATATTGTTTGTCTCAGCAAATAGCATTCAGTGACTCTAAAGACCAATAGCCCCTAGCTGCAATTTGGATCATAATTTCTGGAAGACAACCTTCTCATTTTTATCAAACAAGCAAAAAGTAATTTACCTGCAGGGCCTTCCTGGCAAACCTCTGTTCATCAGTGTTGTGATACCAACTCCCACCAGAGTCCCTCCCAATGCCAACAGTTGTCCTTTTTGGTCCCCTGTAAAACTAAGGATGCAAATCACAACTGTTCAATGTTTTCCATCACGAAAAGTAGAAAGCTGCTTGACCACTGCCCGACCCCTGCATTCTTTGTGTCAGACTCGGAGGAGCAGCTCACAGACACAGGAAGAATGAAGCCTTTCCACCAGCCCTTCAGAAATACCTCCTGGTACTGAAGGGCAATGGTGGGCACGGTGGGGGACATCAGATTCACTCTCATCCTGGGGTAACTTGTGTCACACTACGTAGATTTCTCTTTTCCCTGTGTTTAGAGATTGGGATAAATTGTTTTTTGTTCTACAAAACTAACTTTTTGAGCTTGAACACTTCCGAATTATGACCTTTGAACTGACACAGATTAAAAGTTCCAAGTAGAAAGCGTTTATATTGTCACAACTCCATTTTCTCCCTATATTCTCCCGACTTGCCGCTTAGACTATCTGCTTGTCAAGGCTTGTGAGACAGAACAGCACATGCCATCACCGTCAGTTCTCATCCTATACAGCCTCTGTGGACTGTAGATCAGTTAGACAGCAGACAGCAGCTGGACCAAAAGATGACAGATCAGCAGTTTTGAAACATGACTTATGTCTTAGTTAGGGTTTCTATTACTTTGGATAGACACCATAACCACTGCAAATCTTAAAAAGGAAAACATTTCATTGGGGCTGGCTTACAGTTTCAGAGGGTTAGTCCATTATCATCATGGCAGGACAGGGTAGCATGCAGGCAGACATGGTGCCGGAGAAGGCGCTGAGAGGTCTACATCTTGACCTTCAGGCAGCAGAAGGAGACTGTGTACTGGATGTAGCTTGAGCATATGAGACCTCAAAGCCCACCCCACAGTGATATGCTTCCTCCAAGAAGGCCACACCTCCTAATAGTGTCACTTGCTATGAGCCAAGCTTTCAAACACAAGAGTCTATGGGGGCCACACCTATTCAAATCACAGTCTACTCCCTAGTCCCCTTAGGCTTGCAGCCATAACATAATGCAAAATGCATTAAGTTCAACTTCAAAAGTCCTCCTGGTCTATCACATTCTCAACAATGCTTCAAAATTCAAAGTTCAAAGTCTCTTTTGAGATTCATATAACATCTTAACTGCAATTCCCTATAAAATCAAAATAAAAAAAAAAAAAACAGACCACATACTTTCAACGTATACTGGCACAGGGCATACATTACCATTCCAAAACGCAGGGAAGGGAGCATAGTGAGGAAAATGCTGGACCAAAACCCAGCTGGGCAAACTCCAAACTCTGCATCTTCATATCTGATATCAAAGCATCTTCACATCAACAAGTCCATTCAGCTTTGTTGTCTGTAGCACACATCTCTCTCTTAAGCTGGTTGCCCTCCCTGTTAGCAGCTCTTCTTGGCAGGTGTCACACAGCATTGGCATCTCCAACATCTCGGGATCTCAAAGGCAATCCAGGCTTCAACTTCACAGCTTCACATAGTGGCCTCTCTGGGCCTCCATTCACACACACACACACACACACACACACACACACACACACACACACACCTGGCCACAGAGGCTTTCTTTAGTCATGGAGGGAGATTCCATAACCCCAAAGCCAGAACCACGTAGCCAAAGCTGCCAAGTTATGCTGCTTGCTGAGATTAGAACATGGCCTCCTCATTCAATTACATCTTCATCAGCTTTCTTTTTAAGATGGTTTCCTTCGCTACCTGAGCCTGGCTGTCCTGGACTCTGTAGACCAGACCTCTGTCTCCAGAGTGCTGGGATTAAAGGCATGTACCACCATGTTTGGACTTAAGCTGTTCTTTAATTCCTTTTCACAATTTGGAAGCATAGCTGGATGTGATCTTGCCCTGAGGTCACCACTCCTTTTATCCCATTTCTTAATCTGTTTATCCCCTTGAACACAGGACTTAACTCCATTCTACTTCCTGGTGCCCCTTTCTCCTCAATCTCTACATTTTGTATTTTCTCTTGCTCAGCTTGCTCCTTTTCATTATCGATCTGCATAAGAGTAAACACTAGAGGCCATGGCTTGGGGGAAAGACAACCATGGGCCCATTGAAAGGATGCCATTTGGCTCAGCCAGGTGCTAGCCATCTACAGGCCAGTGTGGGTTCTCATGGCTTGAGCTGGTGGGAAAGACATCTATGAGCCCACCTCATGCCATTTGGCTCAGATGGGTGCTAGCCATCCACAGGTGGGTGCTGTTACCATGAGCAAATTGTGGTGGAGGAATGGGAGAGAAAAAGAAGCCAACTGGTTCACGTGGCGTGGAAAGAGGAGGAAGAAAAAAGTGAAGGCGGTGAGAAGTAGGCTGATGTGGGTGGCCTGCTTGCCACCCAGGGCCATGGTGCCGTCATAGTCCAGGTTGCTGCCAAGGGCCATGTCTGAGTCTGTGATCCTACTGCAGCCAGGACCTGTGTTGATGTCTGTGGCCCATGTTACCACCAAAGGCCACAAGGATGCCCAGTGTCTGGGCTGTCATCTGTGGCCATGTGGTGTCCTTGGGCATGCTGCCACGGGGGGGCGGGGGCATATGGATCTGAGTGGGCTGCACTGCCACCTAGTACCATGGTCACATCTGGGATAGAGCTGCAACTGAGAGCCATGTCTGCGTCCATGTCCTTACTGTTGCCAGGGTCTGAGTTAATGTCCTTGGCTCCTGTTATAACCAGAGGCAGTGGGTATGTCCAGTATCTGGCCTGCCACCTGAGGCCATGTTGGTGTCTAAGAGCCATGCTGCAGCTGTGGCATACTTATCTGAGTGGCCTGTGCTGTCATTGGGGCCATGGTGCTATCCTAGCTGCTGCTGAGGGCCATGTCTGGGTCTGTGGCCCTACAGCAGCCAAGGTCAGAATTCATTCTCATGGCTCCTGTTACCACTGATGGTCATGTGGATACCCAGGCACTGGTCAGTCACCTGAGACCATGTTCGTATCCAAGAGCCAAGCTACCACCAGGACCACACTGATCTGGGTGACCTGAGCTGCCACAGGGGCCAGGGTGGTGCCCAAGCTGGAGCTACTGCTGAGGGCCATGTCTGGTCCTGCTTCAGCTGGGGTCTGTGCTGATTCCTGTGACCTGTGTTACCACAGGGGGCCATAGGAACCATGTGCAATGAAATCCACTGGCCCCACCCTTCACTGGCCCTGGGAGGGCTGGTCCTGCTCCTCACTGGACACTGCCGCTGGAGGACTGGCCCCAACCCTCATGGGATAGGTAGCCCCAATGTCCCATGGCCCTCCAAACCCAGGAGATATGGCCCCACCATCACCATGGGCATGGGAGAACTGACGATGATGGCATGGGCATAGGAGGACTGGCTCTGCCCGGACTGACCAGCTTAGCTAACACGTAACTTAACTAACATCCAGGGCCTTGGGTTAGCCCACCCTAACATCTACCCTATCTATGACCCACTGAAGTGTGTGAAGGGACTGGCCCTATAGAATGACTCCGTGACTCTGGTAGCCAAGGGATATCCAAGAGGAGTTTTGGTAAGGGTCCAGTGATGATGGTGTGCTAGAAGCCAGAGAGGCCTTGAACCAGACCAATGACTCATTGCATTGAACATTTGCAAGTAAAGTTGATTGGACCAAAGGGTATATACTGTGCGACACAATTCAGCCCCCATTGTCACTAAGACAAATGAAGAGGTGTTGGAGAGTCAGGAAAGATGGGGGAGTGAAGAGGTTGTATGAGTTTTGTGGGTCTTTTGGGTTTTTTTTATGTTGTTTGTTTGTTTGTTTTAATATTCTTTTCAGGGGAGGTTGCTTCAAGGCTATCAGTAACTCCTTACAGCAAAGATGAGCAAATGAAAATAGGTGTGCCCACTTAACTGCCCAGTCAGCCTGGACTTTGAGCACCTCTCTAGTCTCCTTAATTTGTTTGCAGTTTGCCAACAATGTATATGGATTTGAGACATGGAGGTGAGAAATTTGTTTGTTTGAAGTAGTTTATAACCTCAGTAAACTTTGAATCTTGCTTTTCTTGACCAATAGTGTAGGGGAAATGTTAGCCATGCCCTCTTGGGGGCTGGCACAGGTGACACAGACCACGCACACTGGGGCATGGTCAGTGACATAGCAAGACCTTAAACATGAGGGTCACATTCAGACGGCTCTCTCTGTTCCATGGTTCGACTGGTGGTAGGGGACTGACTCCGTCTCGTGAATACTCTCCTATTAAATCATCTGCTCGTCAAACTTGGTCTGACTCCTTTGAGGTATGGCAAGATTAGCCATTTGGGCAAGAAACTGCTCTTGCCTGGACTGTTTGTTGCTGTATAAACTGTACATACAGGACCCACAACAAAGTGACTGCTGAACTTACAAAACAAGATGAACAGTCCTGAAGGGTTCCTGCTGAAATAGAGAAGTGTGCCAGACACATATAGTGGGAAATTACCAATACGGAGTCAGGTAGAAATATAAGGGTATTTAATAGGGAAAAGCCTTACTTACAGAGCAACCTAGCCAGCCGGCGTGGCAGCAGTCTGTCCAGCAAGTACAAAAGTGAAACCGAAAGAGAAAAACAGTCCCCTGAAAGTCTTACTCTATGTCACCCCGACCACGCCCTCACAAGCATGGTCAGGCACACCTATAGCCAGCCCCTAAGTAGGCGTGGCTACAGCCTCCCCTACAGACACACTGTGGCCTATGGGCTGAAGATGGATGCCCCAACTTTACAGAGGAACTTTGGGTGACTGTCCAGGTAGTGATATGTCTCTGTCAATTCTAGAGTTTATGTATTATCCTTCTGTGGTCTTTTATGGAGTTGAAGACAGATAGTTATGGTTATAGTTTACTTCAGTTATTATAAAAGATAAGTTACCCTTCTTTTAATTTAGACAGAAGAGGAGATGATGGGGAATGTACTTCTGTGTATGTTTCTCTTATTGATTGCTGAATAAAGCACTGTTTGGCCAATGAAGAAGCAAGTTAGGAGTCAAGGAGGATTCTGGGAAATGTAGTAAAGAAATGTTGTGATCCAGGCAGGAAGTGACATAGCAGGGAGACTCATATATAAGCAAGGTCAAGAAGGAAGTAGTTCCTTTCTCTCTTCCTGCTCTCTGCTCTGCAGTCACCATGTGACCTAGGAAGAGGACACCAGCGGAAAGCATTCTCCATAAGATAAGTCTTATGATTATGGATGATAATTAAGACTGAGCTAGCAAGTAAGAAATCCTAGGGATTGGCCAGCAGCATTGTAACTTAATATAAGTCTCTCTGTGTTACTTGGGACCTTAACATGGTGGTGGGTGGAACTTGGGTGGCCTGGCAGAAAGCGCCCATGAGGTGGCAAGGCTTGGGTGGCTTTGTCAGAAAGACTTCTCATTACACCATAGTATCTGTCAACATCTGATCCCTTCCAGGGAGAGTTCTAGATAAAATACAGAAAGTTAAAAATTGTGATTCAATCTCTATGTTGCTCTTCTCCACCCAGGGGTGTGTGAGAGCCAGCCCAGAAACACCTTGACAGTCAGCCCCATCCGGGTTGATAGGCTTTCCTTCTCCATGATCCTTCCTCAAGTCTCAGAAATTCCCAATTCCCAATAGAATTGTCCTTTTTCTTAAATTTTATTTTTTCTCAATGAATACGATGAATGTAGATCATAGCTACATACACCCCTACGTGAGGGTACAAACAGCTGAAGAAAACTGACTGTCCCTCTTCTAGTGGCCATCAACTGCCAATAGCTCATGAGTCCATTCCCTGTTCATACTGGCATGTTTATGGCTTGATTTTGTGCGTGTCTTATGCTGACAATTGACTATAATGACTATAATGGCTCTGTCACATCCAGAAGACATTATTTCTAAGCATTCTTCTCCAGCCTCTGGCATAAGAATCTTTCAGTCTCCTCTTCTTCAAGGAGCATTGTTTTCCGCACTGGCTTGGTAATAGTGCTGCACATTTTCATACACATGAACTAAAACAGGCTTTCTTCCTCACTGAGCTGGATCGTGAGCTCATGATCCAGGAACCCATCACATCACAGGACTGTACACACGGTACATTTGTCAGCCCACATGTAAACAGCTGAGATACATTTCTTTTTAAATTAAGAATTTAGAGGAAAAGAGAGAAAAACCACATAAAGTTTCTTCCCTTGGCACTGGACAAAGAGGAAAGTTAGAGAAAACTGGGCACTTACGCCCCCCAAAATGAGTGCAAGTGGGAAAGGATAACTCTCTGTGGACTCTCACTCAGGAGACTATGCCTGGTACCAGAAACACCTTGGCACTCCTCTCATCAAGACATGTTAACTACTTTCGGCTCCTTGAATCTGGCCTCTGTGAGACTCTGCTGCAAGTAAGTCAAAGCAGCAGAAGCCATGAGACACAAGCTCTGCGACTGCCAGACCACGCTGCTTCTGCCCAGTCCCTTATTCTTGAGGAGCCCACCTATACCCCCATGGGAGAACTCTAGTGCCCCTGGGACTTCTGTGCCTCTGAAGCCACGTGCATAGGCTTCTGGCCAACAGCTCAACTGAGTTTCCAGTCAACAGACAGTGCCAGCTGCCAGGCACATACACAAGCCAACCTGGATATCCAGTTCCAACAGCCCAGCCACCATCTGACTGCAGCCTCATGGGAGACATTGAGTTCTGCCAGCCTGTTTCTATATCTGACTCTTGTGGCATAATAATTAATTTCAACCACTAAATTTGGGGGAGATATACCACAAAATTAATACTAACATGACCCATTATCTCTGGGGGTTACTATTCTAGAAAAACCTATGAATTCTGCTTCTCTATTCCCTAATCAAGCAATTGAGTCCTTTGTCAGTTTTCAAAGCAAGGGTGCAGACGAACCCAGTAGCTCACCACTCCTTTAGTCCATAAACCCAAACAAATTCTGGAGCCTGTACATGGATAACCCACCAAGATGAAAGGGGCTGCCCCCACTTAATGAAGGCAAGAAAGATAAAGCCTGTCTAAAATGAGAGCTATAATCATCAGAGGCTTCTGAAACATGATGTTTCCTAGGTACTGAACAAAGACTTGGTTACTAGAAAGGTTCAGAAATTCTTCTCCTCAGAAAGGAAATGAGGGGGGGAAAAAAAACCTTCACAGAAACATTGTGATTGAAGGCAACTCCACCCCCACACCGGGCTGCAATGCTGACTTCATCCCCTGCAACGGCGCTGTGACTAATTTCTGACAATTACTCCAAACTTCTGAATATTCCCCCCAGCCAAGACAGCAGTAGGAAACCTTTCCATATGGCCAAATCTTTCCACAGTCGGTAGTGTTTACAGGATTCGTAAATTAGACCTTTCACTTGTATAAAAGGAAAGAATTGCACATGGGACCATTTGTTCTTCCTCGTTTCGTTCCCTTCCATCTGAATCACGCAGTGTTCTTCGTGTGTTCCTGTCCCTGTCCAACAGCAAGGTGGAGGCTTCTTGGGCTGTGCCCTTGTTACCATTCAACCCTCAACACTCTGTGTTTGGCAAGATTAGCTTGGACTGAGTGGCACTTTTTAGAGGACTGTGCTGTCATCACAGGTCATTTTTCTTCCCAGCCTGGCATGCTAGACCAGGGTATTCTCAGGTCAGGAGCATCCAAAACAGAGCTCTGACTCTCCAAGTGGCTGCTGGTTGGCAGTTTCCTATGCCTGTCCTCGAAACCGAGAACTGTCCTTGGGTCATCCCCACCCCCACCCCCACCCCTACCCCCACATGAGAAATCTCGTTGAGAAGATAGGTTGGAAACTCAGAGAGGCCATGGCTTGCAAGCTGTAATCAGAGAAGCCACAAAGACATACCTAGGGTTACCACTGAGAGTACAAGTGGGAGAATGAGATGAGTAGCCCTTGAGCACACCCCTTCCCACCCATGCAACAACCAGAGCACTTCAACTTTCCCTTGGTTTGCATGTTTGGCTTGAAATATTTAATCTCCAGAAAAGATAATGTTTCTTCTACCAACTATTTGCATGCCCCTGCAGAACAGAATGAGGAGGAACTTTGGGGTCCAGGCCCTGTGGTCCTTAAGCCCCACCCTTTACTGATTCTCTATGACTGTCATCTCAGTTCTTCTGTAAGATGGAGGTAACAATGCCAACCCCACAGGCATAGAGGAGACCAGGTGAGATGTAATCTAATAACTGACTAATTCTAGTAGCTCAATCAACACTGAAATTCAGAGCTTTAAAGGGCTGGGGTTTTGTTTTGTTTTGTTTTTTTCGAAGTAGGTTATTGCATACAGAAATGGGCTTCATTGTGACATTTTCACACATTCATATCTTTATGGTTTGCTCCCATTGCTAGTGCCCCCACCCTCCCCATCTCACCTCCCAGAAAAGTTCTCTGCTCCACTCAAAGTATATACACCTTCCATTACCTTCTCTTATCCCCCCTGCTCCCTTTAGACCTAACTATCCCCACCCCAGTGGTCCCTTTCCACCTGCATGTCATATATATGATGCTCAGATTTAAGTTGGCTTTCTATGTATGAGAGGAATCCTGGTGTTTGAGTCTGACTTGTTTCATTTAACATAATGATATCCAGTTCCATCCACTTTCCTGCAAAAGTCATGATTTCATTTCTTTGCAGCTGAATAAAATTGTATTTTGCACGTTTTCCCTGTTTTCTTTATCCATTCATCTGTTTGATGGGCATGTGTAGTTATTATGAAGTGTGGCAATAAACATAGATGTATACATACATCTGTAGTATGCTAACTTAGACTTCTTTGTGTATTTACCCAGGAGTGGTATAGGTAGATCATTTAGTAGTTATAGTTTCAGTTTTTTTTTTTTTTTTTTTTTTTAGTAATCTCTACACTGATTTCCAAAGTGGCTACACAAATCTCCATTGACACAAGTAGTATATAAGGATATCTGTCTTCCCAGGTCCATACCAGCATTTGCTGTCATTTGTTTTCTTGATGATAGCCATTATGACTGGGGTGAGATGAACTTTCAATGAGATCTTAACTTGCATTTCTCTGATGGATAAGGATATTAAATACTTTTTCACATATTTATTGGCGTTTATATTTCTTTCTTGGAGAACTGTCTGCTTAATTCACTTATTGACTGAATGATTTGGATTTTGGGGGGTATTTAATTTTTTGGATACAACATTTTGTTTATAGATTCCATATATCAATTCCCTATTGGATAAGAGCTGGGAAAGATTTTTTTCCATTCTGTAGACTGGCTTTTCACTCAATTGATGGTTTATTTGCTGTCTGGGAGTTTCTTAATTTCAAGTGACCTATTTGTCAGTTCTTAGGATTATTTCCAGTTTATTAGAATCCTTTTTTAGGAAGTTATTGTCTATACCTAAACCTTCAAGTGTTTTCCCCTACCAGTTTCAGGGGGCTTCAGGTCTGTAGTAAGATCTTTGATCCATTTTATGTAGGGTAGGAGATATAGATCTAGTTTCACTACTGTTCCTGTGAATTTCCCCAGCACTATTTGCTGAAGAAGCTTTTCTCCCTATACACGTTTTTAACACTTTTCTTAACACTTATGGACTGTAAGTACAGGGCTGTATTTTGGGGTCCTCTATGCTTGCTCTATGTGTCTGTTTTTTATGCCAGTACTAGCCTGTTTTTGTTACTATAGATCCATTGTATAATTTGAGATCAGATACTGTGATGCCTCTAAGAATTGCTCTTTCCACTTAAGATTGCTTTGGGCATTTAGGTTCTTATGTACTTCCCATATGAATAAGATTTCTTTCCTGTTTCTGTGAAAAATATCATTGGAATTTTGGTAGGGTTGCATCAGGTCTGTAAATCACTTTCATAAATACTGCTGTCTTCATCAATTTAATTCTGCCAATCCATTAATATGGGAGTTCTTTCCATCTTCTGGTTCTTCTTCAATGTCTTTCTTCAGAGTTTTAAACTTTCTATTGTAAAGGTCTTTTACCTTCTTGCTTAGATTTGTTCTTTGGCTTTTTTTTTTTTTTTGTAAAGCTATTGTGGGTGGGATTCTCTTCTTCTCTTTCTTTCTCAGCATTTTCATTATTGATATATAAAGAGGCTACCGACTTTGTGTGTTGATACTGTATCCTGCTATTTTCTTAAAGTGCTTATCATGAATAAAAGTTTTATGGTGGAATCTTTGGGACATTTTTAGTATAATTTCTTTTTGTTGTTATATTCTTACCTGGTGATGACTTAATAGGATGACTTAGGCAATGGCCCTTCTCTTTATAATTTATGGAACAGTTTGAGGAGTGTCAGCATTGGGTCTTCTCTGAAGGTCTAGTAGGACACAGAAGTAAATTCATCAGGTCCTGGGCTAGTCTTTGCTGGTAGACTCTTCATTACTGGTGTGCTCGCTTTGAATCTGTTGACTTGTTTACATCCTCTTGATTTAATTTTGGCAGGTTATATGTGTTAGGAGTTTAACCTGTTTTACTAAGTTTTCCAACTTAGAATATGTTAGAATGTATGTTTAGAAAATGGATATTCAAAATATTTGTGAATGATCCTTCAGATCTGATGGTAGAATCTGTTATAATCTCCTTTCTCATCTCTAATTTTAACAATTTGAGTTTCCCCACTCAGATGGGCTAAAGATTGATGCTGTTGATGTTTTCAAAGAACCAAATCTTGAGTTTTGTTTATGCAGAAGTAATAATAAAAATAAAAAACATTTTCTTTCTTCTGCCCAAGTCCAAAATCCATCATGAGACAGATTCAAAATAACGAGATAAAGCCCCCTCCCCTGCATGAGCTATCTGTTTGCAGGAGGACTTTCTAATACTATATTCTAGAGACAAATTTGTCTACCCAATATAAGAGCTAAAAATTAGCCAGCTTCTGCCAGGGCAGGAGGCTTCTTTGTAAAATGTGTATCTTCTCTGCAGAAAAGAAAATGCTAAGAAGATACTTGTCAGGGGTGGGATGAATTATATCTAATGCACAAGTTACTCATATGACTTATAAGTCATATGAGCCATCATATATAGATATGCATGCTCACTGTACAATTATAAACTACTTATTATATATTTGTACTTGCTAATGATAAATCCAGAAGCTTCCACAGGCCAGTCAACAAACCCACTGATTTCCCAAAAAAGAAAAACAAAAACAAAACAACAAAAAAACTTTAATATAATAAGTATAAAGTGAAGCATCCTCTGTAGGGAGACACCCTAGCCCCGCCCAATAGTCATGGGACAGGTGCCAGGTGGACCCGGGACTCGGCCATAAGGACGTGGTGAAGGAAAGCCGGTGTGATGTAAGGGAGCTTCTTAAGGGCGGCACCGGAAGACCCTAGCCCTTTTCTGGCCTAGCTTGCTGGTTTCCTGTAACCTCACTCTGGCCTGCGCTTTGCCCCGGTGTTTTCTTGAATAAAGAGACTTTACCATCCCGGATCACAGTTCATCTTTTGGCGCACCTTCAACATTTATTCTTCAATCCTCTAGAAAAGTATCCGAAGAGAAAATATGCCACATTTAATTCTGATTAGACCTTGATAAGGAGTTTTCTAGGAGATAAACATATGGGAAATAGCAGACAGATTAATCCCATTGTAGTCAAAATGACAACATGGCTCACTGCTATAAGGTAAGGAGCTATCTGTTACTGTTGTTTTTTTCATCTGGAATGGCTGTCTCACAACAGGACAGAATAGACAGCAGGGTCATATGATGTAAACCCTGATATACATTTGTGTAAACCTTTGAGGTAGTTTTTAGACAGTGCTTATTACTTATTGTTAGTGGCATTTGTTGGTGTATTTAACGCCTGTTGTTTTACAAAGGCCTACACTCTGGTCCCTGGCTCACAGTGTTTCTATTCACCACAGGGAATATGTTGCCTAGAGTCTATTCAGATTTTTTAAAATGTTTTTAAAATAACTCTCCAGCCTCTTTTAACGTGAAGATTAATCTTGGGAGAGAACCAACAGCTCACCCTAATGGCACAGTGTGTAGTGTATATATACCACAGTGAGATGAAGAAGTATAACCCAGTGTGATGATGGGAACTTTACTCAGATCTCTGAAAACATTCATTTTAACTGGTATGAACACTAGTCTCAAGATGCCAAAATACTTGGAAAAGAGAAAATGTGTATTTAGTTATTTTGGTCTAGTTTTATTTTATTCCCTTTTCTTGTTTTTTTTTTTCTTTTTGCTGGAAGAGTTTTGCTTGGTTATAATAAATGGAGAAAAATAGCTGTATCTGTGGGATACTGTACACAGGAAACAATTGTGAATGACTTGACAAACAGCAAGGTCTCAGCAGAAATATGAGTATTTATAGGGACAAAAGATGTGTTGGTAGTTCTTACAGACTATGGATTTTCTCAGAACTTTTTCTATTTCTAAAAACTAAATGTTTGAAAAAGAAGCCCCATTGTGTGACAATAGCATAAAATTTGTCAAACATATCTACTGAGTAGAGTGTGCTAAATACTTGATTCTCATTATCTTACTTTTAATATTTCCCCCAGGTCAATAAAATTAGTTCCAATATAACCATCATTTTATGGAGGGGGGAACTAAAGAGATGAAGTGACCACAAGACACAGTGTGACACAAATAATAAAAACCCAGAGACAGATATTGGGGTTAAAGATGAAGATCAGAAAAGCAATGCAGCCAACCAGTAGCTCTTACCTCTACCAAGGCTGAAATGGAGGTCCTATCTTCCCTGTGACTGGAAACTGAATCTGACATGAGACCCTTTGCTTCTTCCTTATACACCTCTCTAGTGCTGGAATTAAAGGTGTGAGCTCTGTTTCTCTTTTAGACTGATTCACACTCATGTGGCCCAGGTGGTCTTGGATTCACAGAAATCCATCTGCCTCTGTCTCCTGAGTCCTGGAATTAAAGGTGTGTGCCACCACTGCCTGCTGTCTCTGGCTAAGTAGTGTGGTCTGATCCCCAGGCAAACTTTATTAAATTGCAAACAATATATCACCACAACACAGACTTGACAGTATAGGACTTATGCTTAGATTCAGAGACCTTGAATTCCACAGCATCTTTACTTCTGAGAGGATTCAAACAAATACAATTGATATTCAGGGGTTTGTTGTTGTTGTTGTTAAATAGAAGTCTTTCTGGGTTCTACTGGACATGAAAGGTTTAGGCAACAACATAACTATTTGGAAAATTATCCTCTTATTAGAGACAAAAGCCTCCCCATTTTATAAAAATAGATTAGAAATGAGATCCAAATAAGAAACTCTACAAGAGAAAGTTGATTCCACCAAGGGGCACATAATGGTTCCTGAGTGACAACAAATTAGCTTCCACATTGCTATGTGGAAAATGGCCCAACCCTGGGTTCCAAGCTTGGAGGATGTTTTATACATCCAGGGTTGGCATGAAACTCTGGTCTCAATTACAAAGGCAAGACTTTGAGGAAGCCCTGGAAACAACCCGATTCCTAATAGTACACTGCTAGGAATGGAGGGCCTGAGAATAGAAGAATAGACTACCACTTTTGGTAAATTTATACAAAAATAAACCAAAAGTTTGGACTCCTACTGGAAAATTCAAGACAAAAATTTCTTGATGAATTTGTATTTGAAAATGTCTTCCACAAAGAAAAGGAAGACTAAGATGTGAAAGTCTCATTGAATCATTTTCAATTGTGTTATACTGCTGTTTCAGAATCAAATAAGAGTTTGAGTCATCAGAGTTCAGTCTGTCAGAATCTTTTACTTCCCTACATATAAATTGCCTTATTTGTTTGGAAACCTCCTATTGCTTAATTGGAAACAAACTTCCATGTGAGGCTGAGGAAGATGAATTCGAAATAGTGTAGGAATATTTTATGGTCATGTCAAACTCTTGGTTCTGTTTCATGTCGCATTAGAATAAAAGCAAGCCTAGAGATAAGAATTTAGGAAGAATTTTGTTTGACACAAATAGACTCAAGATTGGGTGGTCCAACAGCTAACTTTGGAGCTGGTTCTTTGGAGCTGCTGTGTATCGATGCCAGACATCATTGTTGGGTTCACTATTTAGGATTAGAAGAGTAAAGGTGAAAATTGGTGGTTTGGACAATGAAAAGCTCACAATAAATCTGAAATGTAAGATATATGCATATCAAAGATATTTCACTAATCAAACCAGAAAACCAGCTGACATGTAAATGGACAGAAAAATATTTATTGATACTTTTATTTAATCAATTTTCTCATTCACAATTCCATACAGGTATACAATATGTTCTGGTTACTCTCATCTCCTACCTACTCTCAACACACTCCAGTAATAGACTAGCAGTAAGCAGGAGTAGGATGAAATGTCTTGTTTAGGGGTAGGCTCTTAGCTGTCACTTATTTTCAGCATCTTTGGCAGCCATGAGTCTGCAGACACTGCCTTCAGGCCTCTCTGACTAAGGCTGAGAATAGCTTTTGTCTTTGGGTATCATATGATAGACATATTTAGAAGGCACTTTAGCTTGGTGCTATGGAAAATGTGTAAAACTGATTAGTTTTAAAAATTAAGGTTTTCCTGATGAAGTGCAAGCAGGCTCCCTGAGCTTCACTTATCACGTGACAACTGTAAACTAGATTTTTGTAAGTCTGAAGCCACTGTTCATAGATGGTAGGTATAAAACCAAAGTCACAACATGAATTTAATATGAAATCCCAATAGCCATGCCCCCCTTCTTTCTCTCTTATGATTTAGGTGAGAGGAATCCTAGAAGCTGGGGAGAAATTTGGTCTTTAAGGGTTTTGAGAAACATAAGAAGGACATTTTTTTTCAACCGTTTGAAACTGTTAACAATTCAAAATCGTACTGAGTTGCACACCTGTGATATCTATACTTTTCTGTATGTTGTTCTTCCATTTAAAAAAAAAACAGGGAGAATATACTTCCAAAATAACCTAATAGTGTGGACGATGTTTAAGGTGGAGCTCGGCAGGTAAGTCCTCATCTGCACCTCTGCTTTCCCACCCTGCCACCGCCTCTGTCTCCCTTGATAGGCAGAAATCACACACCGTATGCAGGTGTGGATACTGCAGGAAGGGACCAGCACTGCTTGACATGACAGCATTTTCTAGTAAGGAATGAAAGCGGTGCTTCCTCTGTCTCAAAATCAATCCACATTCATGAAATCTTAAAAAAAAAAAAAAAAAAAAAA